ACCGTCGGATGGTTGCGAGCAGCGCCGCCGCCCCCCCCCCCCCTTTTTGTTCCTTCAATCACAGCCACGGGAAGCACGCTGCCCCCTTTTGACTCGAAACCTTGCCGCTCCCCCCTCTCGAGGACGCGGGGGCAATGGGCAAACGAACTTTACTAATGAAAAACATGAGTTAACCACCCCCCCTCCGCCATAGGTTTGCGACGGCATCTTGGACCGCTTCGAGCAGGCGGCGGTGCCCCTGGCCGCCCAGTACGGCGCCCTCCCCGTGGTGGGGATCGGCCACTCCTGCGGCGCGTTGCTGCAGCTGCTCATCACCTGCCTCTTCCCGGACACTCCGAGGGCGGCCAACGCCCTCATCTCGTTCAACAACAAGCCGGTGTCGGAGGCGGTGCCCGGCTTCGAGGAGCTCGTGCTGCCGCTCGTCATGCAGGTGCGTGCGCCTTGGCTTGAGGTGGCATCGACCGCGCTAGTCGGCTCTGACCAATCAAATTCCGTCATGCGGGGGCGCGCGCCTTCCGCGGGTGAGGTAGCATCGACGCCGTTAGTCGGCTCTTACCAATGAAAAGACGTACGGCGGACCGCCTTACCGAAGTTTTTTCTATTGATTAATCTATGATATAGAGAGGGGGCTTCGTATCCCTATCCCTACCCCTATCCCTAACCCCACCGTGTGCCCCCTGCTATAACCAAGCAAACTTAAATCCCGCTACTGCAGAAGTCAGGAAGGCCGAGGCGTATGCTAATAATCTGCTACTCTTCGTTTTATTATCATAAGCGCCATCTGTCACGCTCTTGAAAAGCAGCTTGTTTGTCGCCTTTTTTTTTCGTGTCTGCTGTGTTGACTTTTTTTTGTTTATACTTGCAGCGGTTGTAATTGCCGTCCACAACCGGCCAATCAAACCATGGTGGATGAACCAGTCAAGCATGCCATGGGTCTGAAAAGCCGCGAAACGAATCGTTTGACGATTGACGATTGACGATGCAGGTGCTGAAGGAGGGGGGCGGGCAGTCGACGCTGTTCTCAACGCTGGAGATGCTCCGGGAGACGGTCGACAACCTCGTGGACGGGCAAGTGCTGGGGGTGTGGACCGTTGTGTCTGGCCTTGGCTCTTTTGATCATCCAGCTCGCGTTCGCTGCGAGACAGATGCACGTATGAGATATATAGTTCTAAAAGAGACAGAACACCGTCCGTACCTCCTCCCATTGGAAACCGTGATTATCTTTCCCTCGCTTCCGTGAAACGCCCGGAGGTTACACATGTGGCCTCGGTCTGAGCACGCGTAATTCGTGTTCGTTCAGCCTGTCCTGTTGTCGGCGGATGAATGACCCGGCTTAAACAGGCTGAAACTGAGCACATTCAACACTTGAAAAGTGTTGGCGCGGTCCTGTTATTGTTCAAGCCACACCGCACTCAAGCCATTTTTTTTTTTATGATGCCGTGTTTTGCTACACAGGGATGAGCGGTGAGTTTACCGCACACTATACAGCGCACCTCTCTCCCGTAGCTGCTGCTGCTGCTGCTAAGGCAGTGCCGCTTGTTGCGAGCAACTGAAGGATGACCCACGGGCATGTTTTCCCGTGTTTTGTGCCCCAGTGTCAAGCCATAGGGATCCCATGAACCTGTAGCTTAACTATGTTGAGCTCGAGGGTGTTATCGTGCTGGGAACTATTTGTCCCACCCTCAACGTTCCCGTCGGGCGAGCGGAGCTAGACAGGCCCGGCGCTATGGCAATGTCTCCCGCCTGTATATGTTGCTCTACGGCGGAATGTTGAGCTGTTCAGGCGGCCTCTTTTGTGGTCTGACCCGTGCCCGGGCTTCTGCGTCTTGCCATGCGCTACACTCCATCGGGCATGCAGAGTGGTCGAGTCGCGGTTTGCTCCGGCGGTGCTCGAGAACGAGGTGGTGCCCCTAGTGCGGCAAGTGCTGCAGATCACCGACCAGCTTCCGGCCCTACTGCAGTCCGTGAGTTTGTAGTTGTTGTTGTTGTTGTTGGTGGTGGTGGTGGTGGTGGTGGTGGTGGCGTCGAAGTGGTTGTTCTTGTTGATGTTGTTGACGTGGTCGTCATTGTCGTTGTCAAGGTTGCCCCAGCCGTAGATATGGTTATTCTGTGTGTGGTTGCAAGGGGGCGCGTTGGTGTTTTTTGTGTGCTGATGCTCTTGGCCTCCCGTCCACATCAGTGCTGTTGCTCTTGGCTTCCTATTGTAATACGGATCCACATCTACTTGTACAAACTGCGCAACGCACAACTCTGCAAAATCCGAGGGTACACGTACGTAGCGAAGCAAGTCCTTGTGGCGCATTTTCAAGCCCGACTTTTATGGAACATGGCAAAAATGATGGCGACAGATCGCCGACGGGACGCGGGAGTTCACGCCTACGCCGGAGGAGACTCGCGATGTGGTGTCCAAGATGTACCGCGCGAGGCGGACGATCATGATACGGTTCGAGAATGACTCTCTCGACGAGAGCGAGGGCATGAAGGACGTCATCCAGGAGGGGAAGACCCTGCTCCGAATGCGGGTAAGCAGTGGCATCGTGTGCGTGTGAATGCGCTTTGCAGCTATTACCTTCGATCTCTGCGAACGCACACCACGTAATTTCCTTAAGAAGCAAGCCACGGCGTTCAGTGGAAGGTCGACCCTGAACAGCGAGCGGGGAGAGGCGTGTTTATTTGCCGTTTCTCATGCGGCCACCAGAAAGCCCATTTTTTTTAGAACCGCTGTGCCTTGAATCTACCCCTCCCAACAAAAAAGACTCTGCTCCTTTGTGAGAGTCGGACGAGTATGAGTGGGTACCCGAGCTTTCAACTTGACTTTATTCTATAATGTAGTTATGACCTATCCCGTGGGGAGATTTCCATGCGTGACTGAGAATGATTGTTGAATTGCGGTCGAAGTCTGGTTGAAAATTCGACCGCTTGTTGTTGACAAAATCACCGGCTAATTTCCCTGATAAAATCAACGGCTACCGTACCCCTGTCCTTTTTTGGTATTTTTTTCCGTACAGGACTCCTTTGTTTGAGCCCCTGCCTTCGGCCACAGTGATGTCCGACGAACAAGAACGCAGCAATTGCTCCGTTGGTCTATTAGCAAAGTTCCCTCACACAATGCCCTTCTCGCCATCCAAGCCTCCCTTGTCCTTCTCCTGCAGTTCTTCACACACCACGAAAAAAAAAATCAACGACGGATGTTCCCATTATCACCCCCCTGTCGTCGTCGCTCTCGTTTTTCCCAACAACAAACACCACATGACGACGACAACGACAGCGGCCGTTGGTTGACATGGAGCTGCGGTACGAGATCATCAAGGGCAACCACATCACCCCGCTGACGCAAAACGTCTTCCTCAAGACCCCCGTGGACTCCATCGATCCCCTCTTCGGGGTGAGGCAGGGCATGAAGAAGGAGTTCCTCAAGACGGTGAACCACCTGGGGCAGATCCTCGTGGACTGGCTCGAGGAGTCGGCGCCGCCGGTGCCGCCTGGTAGCGGTGGCGGCGGCGGCGGCGGTAGTGGAGGCATTCCTGAGGGTGTAGGGGAGATGCCTTCGACCGAAGCGAGTGGGCGGATGTGACGTATAAGGCTATGACGCACTATCGATAATTGTGCATTGGCAATAGAGAAAGAAAATTTGTGCTGGGTGTTTTTCCCCCTCAACGTTTATTAGGTTTCGCTCTCCTGCCTCGGGGAGTTAGTTATAGCAAGACGCCGCTCCGTGCTGAACGCCTAGGTGGTGTAGTCAAACCGTTGATGTGTTACGTACGTACCACATGGGGATGTTGAAAGTTGTGGTAAAACATTCGTGCACTTTTCATTGTCAACGGAATAGCAACGGCAGCAGTAAGCAAATAGTTCTGATGTTATCACGTCGGTATGAAAACCGCTCTCGTTTTGGTCTTTTTATTTTTTTCGGACAACGAGCCTCGTCGTCCTTCCGCGCGTGCGTGTGATTTGTTTCGTGGTGGAACGGCGAGACTGCGGACAAAGAAAAGACACTCGGCGATGGCAGCCACAGGAGGAGCAATCCAAGCAAGTAGAGAGGTAATTACATGCATCCGCCGGATTGTTTGCCGGGTGGATGCTAGTGCAAGAAACGTTTTTTCCCATTTTTGTTTTGGGGGCCCTGGCGCCTGCTAAACTCGCCTCTCCGCGAGAAGTCTGTGCGCATTCACACGCGTACATAGGTTGCACATGGCAACCACAGGAGGAGCAATCCAAGCAGTAACCTCTGGCCCGCAAGAAATTGCTGTCTACGATGGTGACGTGTAGCCATTCCACCGCAGGGTCTAAAACAGCTCGATACAGTCGCCAGAGCAGCCGCTCAAGCACGGAGCTGAGCAGAGCCAAGACAAGAGATCCATAAGTTAATTAAGTAAGCGGTCATGAGCAGGGGCCTCTACTGCACAACTTTGGGCGCGTGTAGAAGCGACAGATTGTCCGGCAGAACACCTACACTCCACCGGGTGACGGAACGGGAAACCAACAGACAACCAAGACAACTACATCCAAGGGAATGTAACCTCGATGGTTATTTACGGTAGAAAGCATACGACTTTATGGAAGCGTGGGAGCGACGGGTTTTCGCCCAAAGCACTCCACCGGAGGACCAAAAGTGAAACCACAAGACGATGAACAGCAAAAGGTGTAAATAGCAGCTGCTACTTGTTGACGACTGGACTACCCTCTCCTTCTAACCTGTGCACTGACGCTCGATTTTCCCAGCGACAAACGCCTGCTTCTCGGAGAAAATAGTACGGTCATTGCCTCACTCATGCCCACTACGAGAAATCAACACTGAAATGAGGCACCACGGTAGGGAGGAGGGAGAATCACACCCCACCCCCGCCCCGCGCGTTTCCGTCCTAATACAGCCTACGCCTACTACACGCTCTCGAGTTTCTACAATCGGTATTGGGGGAAAAGGCATCACCAACACATATCACCAACACACAAAAAGAACTGTCGGCAGGCTCTCCATCTCAAATCGTTTCCTTCACATGTGTGTCCATCCATACTTCTCTCTAACAACAATATCCTTTGCTCACAACCCGTTCCTAAGGGGCAACTTGCACCCCAGGCGCTGCGTCTTCGTTCCCGCCTATTCCCTGCGAAAAAATGCCACACTCAGCTACTCCGGCGGGAATGCTGGGAACATGTACAGGCATCCTCCAGCGAAACTCACGCGAAGAGGCGCACCCAAACGCTTTGGTCATGTTGGGGGAACATCAACAACCTCGCATGAGCTACAGTAACGAAAACAACGCCGCCATGAAACAAACATAGGTACCCACCGCCAACCTTTCTTGGAACCATCGTTTCCTCGTGCTTAGTGCCATGCTTGCTTGGTCGTCCTCGTGCCGTCCCATCTATTCAAAGGCTTTCCGCGCCAAGCTTCCCACAACAAGCTGCAAGCACAAGCCGCAAGCGCCTTCTCGTCAGTCTGCAGCCTCATCCTTCACCACGAGAACAAACAGTCTAATCCCTTGCCCATCCCACGCCCACTTCACCACTACAGAAAAAACTGTTGGAATGAATACCCTGGATTGGGTGTATCCCTGGCAATGGCCACTGTAGCAACACAATAAGATGCATTGACTTGGCGCTTAGTTTGCCCAAGGTAAGAAGAGAGAGGGAGAGTCCCGAGACTCGCAAGAGTCCCGAAGGCCCTTGAAGAGGCCAAGGGCCTTGGTAGATGTAGGAAGAAAGGAAAGAGGGAGAGAAAATGAGAGAGTGGGGGCGAGCACTACGGGGACGAGCCATCAATCCTCATCCCGGAAGGAAAGACACACACGGGGTATGGTCACGTACCGATCACGGTATCAGGCGGTTACTCCGACCTGAAACAACGCTACAAGAATATCCTACAGGACAATGTTCCGAAGACTATTATTCCGGTAATACTCCTTGGGTGGTTACCGAAGTACTGTTGTTTACAACAGTACAAATACTAATTACGGACATTGGGTATTCCAACACTCCCGCGCAATGGATGTTATACAAAGAACATGTACTTTGTACCGAGTTACCAATTGAATTGGAAGAAATTTACCCAGCCGAAAAGACTTAACACAGAAGTTTAAATCACGAATGAATGACACAGCGCGAGCTGGTGCATCATGTCCATGCCGCCATGACAAGACACCCCCTCTATCCGCGTCCGTCTACAACAGTCCCAGTTTTACCGGTGTGCCTGTTGATGAATCAACTAACGTAGTACCACGGGGATGACTTTATGCGATCTCCGGTTGTCCAGTCCCCCGCCAGGTCAAGCGAGGGGAGGAGGCTCAATCCTCCCGTCCGTTCCCGACAAAAAAAGGCCGGATTCCTGTCAAGGAAGGCCCAAGATCCCGCGCCACATCACCGCCGCTCTCCTCCCTTGTGCCAGGTCTGCAGCCCCTGCAGCTTGCGGTACACCGCGGACAGTCCCGTCACCTCCGCGGCATCCTGGCGAGCAAAGAAGGTCCGTACGGCGCACGTAAAATAAAGTGTTCCGACGCAGCATGTGTACGTACGGATTTTCGACTTTCTGTACACGCACACACCCACGGGGAAGATTACTTGTCGGGATGAAGAAGGGAGAGTCGGGCACGTTTGCACCCGGAACGACAAGGCAAGCGGAACAGAAGACACCACCATTTCATGAAACAAGTACTGGTACTATTTTTTTGCTTTGCCTGATGCTCGTTTCTTAAGTCACTCTGGAGGGTAACCCAAGATCAATCACGTAGGACTTGGAATACATACAGTAGGTGTCCACTCCAGTACTAGAACCGATATATGTCCCTGTTCTGAATAGTGCTGTTGTCCGGAATAGTGCCGGTCGAACCTCTGGGCACATACCAGCAATATATCGGGACACCCACTGTACATGGACTCTCAACTGAGCACCACCACCTGTTCTTACGGTCGAGTTCTCATCCGTCGATCTTCTGGAGCCCTTGATTTCGTACGGTACAGTACCCCCAAGTTCTTAAAGAAGCCGTGTGTTCTTCTTCACCGCATGGGGATCAGGTGAAAGCCTACATAGCTTGGTATCTCGCCTGGGATCTGTCTGTCACAACGGCAGACCCCACGGCGTCCTGGCGTAGGCATCAGACTGCTGTGTTTCTATCACGTACGTTTTTGGAAGAAAATAGTATGTATCGAACCGAGAAAGACAGCTTAGGTGTTTTTCACTCGGCCGTAACCCTTCGTGTAAACGCATCGGGAGACAGCTTTCAAGAATGTCTCCCACGTCCGCGTGAACGTTCGCATCCTGCCACACATGTAACGTGGCGGGATGGGACATGTAGACAGAGAAAGCTTGTAGCTCATCAACGAACCTGGTAGGCCTTCTCCGCCATGACATGCTTGTAGCCCGCGTCCGTGCCCTGCTTGAACTCGCTCTCCGGGTTCGACATGGACTTGGAGTACATCCTGATAAACCACGTTCGTCCGTCCGCGATTGGTCGGAGGGCCAAAAAAAAAGAATAAAAAAAAAAAGGTACGGCGATCGACACATACAATAGTCGGCACCAAAAACCAATCGCGTTCTGTGACAGATGCAGCAAACAATTCAGCGGCAATATCCAACTATTTGGCACCGAAACGAAGGCTCGTTTCATGTCAGGTCAGGTGAACAACATCGACGGCGATGACGCAATTTCCTCCGCAATTGTATCAAATCTTCTTTCACGCGGAGGTACCGGCTCTTTCTCTCCGGCCCATGATAGTGACTCCTAGTCTCAGTTGATACCTCGCATAGCGCGCAGAGGGAGTGGAGGGTTCCAAAATATCTGTCGTTGATTTCAGTTGACTTGCGGACCCCTCGGGGCCAGTTTATTTGAGTGTACCTTTTTAGGGTAAGTTAACCTGTGACCACGGGAATCGACCGCGTCGAGTGTTGGATCAGTACGGACATACGAAGGTACTGGGTAGAGAGAGATCGGAACGGTTTTTGATGTGAAGACAACAACAACAACAACAACCGGCTGGCTAGATGTCAATCCCGCCCGGAGCAACGAGCGGGACACGACAATGCAGCGTAGTCGCACGCGCAGAGTTAGACTGAACTAGGGGAGCTGCTGACAAGAATTCAGCCATGCTCAAGAGGTGGAGAGCACCACTAACAGCAGTGTAGCGCAGTTTGAGAGTAGTGGGGGCCGTGGCCTGACACGTGAAACACCGATGCCATCGCTCGAACAAGAGATGTCTCTTGGGTATGAATATAAACGAACAATGCACGGGTCGCAGAGCAGCACGTCGCACACAGATGCGGTACAAAACGAATCAACCTGTCGCGTTTCCGAAATAAAAACATTAATCTGCTGTTGTCGCGTTTCCGAATAAACACTCAAACACCGTCACATCCTGTTGATTGTCGTGTTTCGCATGGGGTACAAGAACGACCACAAATCGCCCACAGACATACATCCTCGTCAACATCACTGTTATCACCCCGAAACGTGAAGATTTTGTAGACCAAAGGCTATGTACCAAGCCGGCGCCGCCGGAAGCGCCTTCAAAGCTTCAAAACTATTAAAAGCTTACCCGGCGGCCGCCGACAGGTAGGGGAGGTGGTCCTTCAGCTTGTCGTCACCCATGCCGAAGAGCACCGGGTAAATGTACTCCGTCACGACGTCGGGAAGGTTCGTGTACTCCACCACTGCGCCGTTCCCACCCTCTTCGAGCTGGTCCACGGCCGCCTGCGGGGGCCGTCGAATGCCGGGGGCGGGGGGGGCGGGGGGGGGCAGTTTTTTCTTCTGTGCGTGATGGTTGGACGACAGACCCGCATCCTTGAGCACGAAAGGAAGCACTACAGGCGCTTTTTTTTCTCGACATCCGGCGGATCGTGCGAAAGTTTGCGACGGCTTGAAAAACGAAAATGACATCCAGAGGTTTGGCGAACGTCATCTTTATTCTCTTTTCGTTGAAATTAAAGCCTCGCGTGGAGACCACCCATGCGCCCCGAAGCGATGGACGCCGGGTCGTAGAGGCGCAAAAACATCAGCTCGGGGAGACACAAAAGCGTCCGTCGGGGGTCGCTTGACAGCAAAGCGTGTGCCACAACCAGCAAATAGCGTATGGCACTGATGCGTCCCGCGCAGCATCCAACTATTGTAGTGGTATATATTACCCGGCTAGGCATACACTGGGGGGTTGATTGACTTGGACGGAAATTCAAACCACAAGCGGCATAGGCTACCCAACACGATACATCCCGCTATTCTGCTGCTTGCCCTCGCACCAGCTACTCCAAACTGTAGCACTCCGGAAGCAAGGCATACCCATCAACCGGTTGTACCGGACTCGTGCACCGGACATGGCCATTCGCATCTCAGCCGCGAGGAATCAAAGGGTGCCCGTCTAGTTCGTAGGCGGAGAAGCGCCGGACCTTAGATACTAAAAAAGTCAGGACCGCCGAGACAAACATACCCACTACGCAGCTACACGCGGCCATAGACAAGACGGTTGTTGTCGTGATTGTTGTTGTCTTCCAAAAAAACGCTCCGATGTTTCTCTGCCTCGTACTGTGCGTACTGATCTACCACTTGACGCGGTCGATTCCCGGGGTCGCAGGCTAACTTACCCTAAACAATGGTGCTGTTTTAACTGTTTAATCTATTTACCTGGCATAGCGTCCTGAGGCGGTCGGCACAGATCTCTTCCTTCGGTTTCCCCTTCATATCTGACGGCGGCTTGGACATGAGGCAGGGGGACATGGGTGGTCTCCCGGACTTACCCTCCGGCTTGTCTGGGTCGTGGTTCGCTGAGCGAGAGAGAAAAGGAGGGAGAGGGAGGGAGACGGAGAGAGTGGGGGGGGGGGGGAGTGATCCACGTCAGAACACGCGTACACTTGCTCGACTCGTGGAATACTGAGTAAGGGTATCAACCGAGACAGAGAGACAGAGAGAGATAGAGGAGAGAGAGACAGTGAGAGAGACAGAGAGAGAGAGGGGGGAGAGAGAGACAGAGAGACAGAGACAGGGAAAGTGATCCGCGCCAGAACAGTCACACACTTGCTTGACTTAAAGGTTTACCGAGCAGGGTAACAAGCGTAACAAGCGACACAGAGAGACCACGGAAACGGGTCGCGGCCGAACAGGCATACACTCATTGACCTGCTGAGCGGGAAAAAAGGGAAAATCGGGAGGGAGGGGGGGAGCAACAAACAAGAGACAAGAACGGTCGCTACACATGAACAGGAGGTACCGCGGTCCCAAGCGAGTGCCATAACCCATTCTGGAAGCGTGAAACCCGCACGGTGTCTGTTCTGTGTTGCAGGCGCGGCGGAAATGCTGGTACATGCACATGTGCGGAGAGGGAATCGTCCTCGACGGACAGACGTTGGGGTGATGCCACCTTTTCAACGGTCACCTCCACGTTACCCTCCCCTTCCATGGGAGCCTTGTTCCTGTTTGCTAGCCAAGTGGAACACTTTCAAAAAGGTGAAAGGGCTAACCGCGAGTCCAGCCACTTGTTCAACATATTCAGTGTGTGTTGGCGCGGGTGTTCTACGTCCGCCATACAATCGCTTTCTCTGTTTGTGGTTCCACCAGGTTTTGGTGGGTTGTGGGGTTTGAACACGGGGTTGTCCTTCCTACCAAAACCAGACAGAACAGTACCACCACGAACACCAACTTGAAAAAAGAGAGGGGCTCGTCCTCGACGGACTTTGGGGAGACGGGGACACATCCTTCAATAGTCACCCCCGCAGCAGTTAGAGCCGCGCGCGGATGTAGCCCCTATCCTGCGCCGGCTAGATGAAACGCTTTTGTACAACAGAAACACAGAAAGCCTTCGTGTTGCTGGATATTGGCCGTCTCGTGGAACATTCCACGGTATCTCGTGGAACATTCGACGGGACGCGCAGCGCCAAGCACGAGGCCTTCTTCCGCAGAGCCATGCACGCTTCATCCCAACCTTCTCATCCCCCACTGCACCGCCTCTTGGCTTTTGGTGTGGCTCGTTTCGATGAAACCCTAGATATGTGTCCCTCCCGCCCCGACTTTCAGACGAATAGCTAAATAGTGCGTCCTACTTGTCGCCCATCGCACCGAACCAACACAACATATTTCTTTTCCACCCCCAACATTTTGATTGAAAATGAAACTTTACGATCGTCCGCCACAACGAGCCCCCCGCCCGCCCTTTCACTGCGCCACCTGTGACGTTGATGTTGATGTTGTTGTTGTTGTTGTTGTTGTTCATGTCGTGGTCAGCGGCGTCGAAGTCAAAGCCCTTGTAGAACCGCTCACGCTTGCCATAGGCGCCCTGATACACAAGACGCAGGGAAAAGAGGGAAACATCACAAAACACGTCATACCGCACACTCCCAACAGTCGTTCAAATACGCACATGTTGTAGTCTGGGAAGGCTTCCAAGTCTTTGCGGAGAAGCAGCGATGGAGCCATGCGTGTGGGAGTTGCGCCGCGAGCACGTGCAGAAACACCATCGCCGCAGGCCGAAGTTGAGGGAACGCCGGAACACTAACAACACTAGCAAGTAAGGGTGCTGACGCCGCTCGTCAGCATCCCCTCTTGCTTGGGTAGCTAGCCTTCTGACGCTCCCTCGGCTTGCAGCCTGTAGCGCTGCTGGTCCCGCAAGTGCAGCCTCGAGCTCGCGGCGCAACTCCGCCACGCATGAGCCCATCGCCTGCTGCTTCTCCGGACGATTCGCAAAGCACTGCCAGGCGATATCACGGCCTTCGAATGTACGGTCGATGCAAACGGCCAGAACACCCACGGAACGCCCGCGCCAACACTGCGAGTCACGAGCTTCAGGTCCAACAAAATAGAAACTGAAACAAATTGACCACAAAAACAGGTGCGCAGATAGGAATACACATGTTGCAGTTGGGCTATAACCACCCGCAACAGCACACAAGAAAGAAGCCTCCTGGGCAAAATTATAGGGTTTTTGTCGTTAGCGCCGGAGCATTGCACGCAGAGGGCAGACGCAGCAGCCGTTCGACTCTCCTTGGAAAGATACGCACAACGTCGCGTACGGCTGCGCCAGGTCGTACCCACCTCCAGCGAGAATCATCTATAAGAGGGAATAGAAAGGTCTTCGCTTAAGCTCGAGCCCTATCTTTGTGGTCGTACGTACGAGCAAGGTCACTGCGTGTGTCCCCCCTCTCCCCCCCAGCTCCCCATTCTCTATATAATAATAACACATGATACAGCCGTAGCAACGGTTACGGTTTAAGAGAGGGCGTTTACGAGAAAGTGCGGATTTACGAATACCAGAGTATTGGCTTGACGCGGTTCATGAGAAACACATGTAATACATGCATCCATTACCGTACGGGTTTTGAGAAAACCGGGTTGAATAGTGTGTTTGTCACCACCTTCTCCTAAAAGCCGTAAATGGCCGCCTCTGCTGGACCGCCTTCGACGTATGTAACTAATCAATGAAATAGAGAGGGAGGTTTTGTACCCCTATCCCTATCCCTGACCCGTACCCCCTATATACTACAACCAAGCATATACCCTCGCGAATGCTCTGCTGTCTCTACCTTACCTTGAGGTTGCTGACCATAACCTCAACGGGGTCTCGGAAGAGATACACCCATCCCACCTCGGGGTAGGCCTTCATCATCTGCGGCAACAGCGAGAGAGTAAGCAATACACAAAATCGGAAGGCAAGGCAGCAGAAAGAATGATGGATAGAAGAAAAAGACAAGCAGGCGGGGGGGGGGGGGTACTCTCAGCTCTGGATGCCTTACAGCGGTTCAGGCGGGTGGGGGGGGAGGAAAGGGCATCATCAACAGAATCGCTAAACCGGCGGAATGCGATGTAGGCAATGCTCGGTCGGGTGCGTCGGCGTTTGCGAGGTGAGCCCCCGCTCCCCTCCCAACAGCCGCACACGAAATGCAAACCATCGGGAGAGACCACGCGCACGTGGACACAGCAGAACGAGGGGAGACACACAAGGATAACAGCCAGCACTACCCCCCGCCCCCGGTATTCATGTCGCTGTGCCCCAAGAACGCCCCTACTCCCCCGAACCCGAAGAAGAACGGTGGCCCGCCTCGCAAGGGACGCGCGAGTCATCAGCCCAACCGAGGGCAACTAAACCGCAAGCTCGATGCCCTCCCCCCCCCCCCTTAGTAGGATGCAGCGCACCGTCCATGCGAAAGCCGAATACCTCACGGCGCTTCGCGCTTGGTGATGTGAGAGCCTGCTCCAGCGAAAACTCTGCGTGTTCCGTCCAGGGTCGCAAGGCTAATGGTCTATAACGACTACGGTATGCACGGCTAGGAGTACCCCCCCCCCCCCTAGAGGTATCCCTTTCTCACCAAGGGTAGCGTGGTGGAGTCCTGAAACTTGAAGAAGAGGTGTTTGTGCCCGTTCCTCCCGTTGCCAAGCAGCGTCATGATTTCCCTCAAGAGGGTCACCTTTGCAGAACACCAAGAAGTTAGGGAAGAGTCGTAACGGGGTAGGGGAGTGAAGGCCACACGTACGACGCACGACGTGCGACGCAGCCCCCGCGCGATACGAACGTCAGGGTCTCACGGAACGTTTTACACACGAGCTTCATATGGGGAAATGCAACTCTGGGGAGCACGAGCTGAAGTTGGGACGTCTAGCCCCTTTTAGTATCTTCTGCCATCCCATTCATTCTGGACGCACCAGCAGCCTGGATCGCACAGGAGAGGCCACACGGGAGTAGTTCTCTCCGCCTTCCATCTTCGGGGCGACATATAGACTGTAGTAGAAAACAACAAAAGAATGTCGAACCTCGAAAACCAAGCCGCGAGTTATTAGAATGGTGAAGCTGACAACCAACATATTCTTGACTTTTGCCACCCGTCGCGGTCCAATCTGACCTACAGTACACAAACTCCAGCTGGTTCGACTTCCAGCAAAAGGGAAAGAAAAAGAGAGGCCTCTCCAAGGCCGTTGCTGCGCACCACCGTCGCGAGCGATCTATGCGAGAAGCCACAAAGACACCTCTGTTGCGACTCCCCGAACACTTCACGGCGCTTCGCGCTTGGCGATGTGAAAACCAGTCGTGCTCCGTCCCGGCTTTGTAGGGATGCGAGGTCAATGGTCTTAACGACTAATACGGCATATGAGTACATTATCTGTTGCACGCGCACCTTCTGCATCTCCGTGCAGTGCGAGCAGCGGCGAACCGGGTCCTCGGCCATGTTACTCTCGCTCACGACCAGGTTCGACGGCACGTGCGCCAGCATGTTGGCCACCAGGGTGGATCCCGTGCGAGTCTCGTGGTAAACGAAGCCGTTGGGCTGCAGGAACTCTTCAGGGTGCTCGCGCATGTAGGTCTGTGTGTGTTGGGTTTCATGACGCGAGCAGAATGGAATATCGTCGGGGGGTATATTCGTTTTGGGGGTATTCATTACTTCTCACATCGAATAACGTTTTGGAAAGAGCACAAGACAGCAGTATGCGCAGCTGCGGTGGGCAGAGAAAGAGAGAACACGGGATCGTGTTCTCAGGATGGATTACTTGTGCCAGTCGCGTGTCTGGGGGTACGCAATCAATAGCATCACCGAGGGGGGACCCCGCGCAAGAGGGAGTGACATACCACACTCAGCAAGAGGAAGAAAGAGAGAACAAAATGGTACCATGCACGCATCGCAACATGTATCCAAGCTGGACGAAAAAAGGTCACCTGGAGTGTCGAGGGTTCAAGAAAAGAAAGAGGCTACAGGCACAACAACGCAGAGTAAACCGTTGTCGCAAAAACAAAGGATGGAAAAAAGAGAGAAACGAGACGGTCGATGCCGCAGCACCAACACAATCGAAGCTCTACAGCCTAGAAGACGACTACTATGCATAGAAAGAACTGGAAGACCGAAGAGAGCGACTGCTGTTGTCCCCTCAGTCTCAAAACCTCAACCCCGCACGCAGAGAGAGCAACCCCCTCACCCGAAGATCAGAGAGGTGGAACGACCGCAAGTTTTCCGCCTTACTGCACCCGCTCTTCTTCTGCAGCATCACGGCCATCGGGTACTTCCACGGGGTCTCCTGGTACTCCGCCATCCTCATTAGGCAGAACGTGATCGTGGCCTCGCACTCGTCAGCTGCGAGGTCCGCGGCCTCGCCGCACTTGAGCGGCGACATCAACGTGGGCTGCCAAAGCAACCCTTCCCGAGGGACCTCGAGATCGACCGTCTCGGAGACGGGCACGTTCGGCAACTTCCCGCCTATCGGGCGCATCCGTGGGTGCGCCTTCAAATTCCCCAAGCCGCCGCCGCCGCCGTCGACGGCCGCGATCGGCTTCAACTTTAACGCTTTCTCTCCCACTCGTTGCGTCGTCTCGTCCCCCTTCAAATCTCCCAGCGGCTCCCCGCCCCCCGCTGGCCCTCCCTCTTCTTGACTGGGGTCGACTTCGGCCTCCTTCGCACCCCCGCCCCACCCCCCAAACCACCCCAATCGCCTCCCTCCATCCTCGCCGAGCCGTCCACTACTGCTGCTGCGGGCGGGGCGGGGTAGGGCGTATGGCACATGTAGGGATATATGTTGTGGGGTTCCTGTTAAGTCGGGGACACACAGGTGTATATGCACGATGAAAATCTCCATGATGCCAACCACACAGGAAAAACAGCAGCAGGATGGGACGGCGGTGGTCGCAACCGCCCGGCGAGACCGGAACTCACTGACTCACAACGTTCAATTATTTTTTTTGTTTACAATAGGGCGTGAATTAGAGGGCATGCTCGATGCTTCCAGGGAGAGAGTGGAGTGGGTGTCGTGTGAGAATGGTTTTATGGCGGTGTGGTTTGAACAAAATCCACTTGATTTTGAACGCGGGCGGCGCCCAGACTCAAACGAGGAACGCAGTTCAACCCACGCACCCACCATTCCATAAACGGCGGTGGGATTCCATGAGGTATTGCGTACTTCTTCTGTTCTGGTTATGAACAGATAGGCGTATACACGAGAATGCCGGGTGCGAGACTGCTGTATCCCGCGCAAGGTGGTCGAGACAGCTGCAAGAAAAAGGGGACACCATGTGTCCCCAAAGTCGAAGGGTAATGTGGGTATATCTCGAATGGGTAGTCTTTCTGTGTGTGTTTTTATTATTCCTTAATTAAGTTAAACGACCAACACACACGTCACATCGACCAATACTACATGGGGGCACGCGACAGAAAGGTATTTGCTACCGTACATCGCGTACTCCCCCACTGCACGTCTGCCGCGATGTCGGGCGCTTCGGCCGCATCTATTTAATAGCAACAACTCGAGAAAAATGGGAATTTGAGATCAGACTACAGGGGTGTGTCAACATCGGTAGGGAAGAATTTTGCTTCGTTGGCCTCGAGGGGAGTGCGCGCAAAAATTCCAGTGATCGACGTTACCACCGTACCGGTTATTACCGGGATAAGGTGGTGTGTTAGGTAACTGGAAATTCCAAGGCAACTAGGACCTCTCCCAGGGTCTACATCCGGGGACCCCCCCAGCACACACACGGCAGGAAGAGATGTATACCGCGCATTTGGCACTGAAGGGCGTGGGTTGGGGAGTGCGCGTACAATCCATCGCTCTACATAGGTAGGCAGACTTCTTCGAATGCTGCTCACGAGAGCTTTCGCACGGTTATTTTGGTGTGCGTTTCATCTATTTATCTGGACCCCTAAAATCGGTTTTACAAATGCCGGCACTGTAGAATGCCGCTTTACTTCCACGGGTTTTACAACCAATCACAGGAAGAGGTGTACACCACGCATTTGGCCCTGAATGGGGTGGGTTGGGGAGTGCGCGTAGAATGCCGCTACACTTCCACGGGTTATAACCAACAAAGGATCACTTCCATTGGTTGCGTGTGAGAACAGACCCTCACGTCAGTCAGTCCGCCGCTCGGGCTGTTGGTGGTGCGGTTGTACTAAGGAATAATAAAAATTCATAGCAAGGTTTGGTGTGTTGTTGGTGTAATGGTTTCGGAGTAAGACATAGTGGCATCGTAACTCGCTTCGCTCGCAGACACTTCACGGAGTTTCGGGCGCGGTCCAGTGTGCGGTCACAGTGCCGTGTGACTCGCTTCGCTCGAAGGCCCTTCACGGGGTTTCGGGCGCGGTGCAGTGTGCGGTCACAGTGCCGCGTGACTCGATTCGCTCGAAGGCACTTAACGGGGATTCGAGCGTCGTGCAGTGTGCGTCACAGGAGTGCCGTGTTGCTCGCATGTATGTACTCAAAGGCAGTTCATGCGCAGCAGCGTCATGTTCCCTCTCTCGAGGAGTTCCTTATGTGCTTCGTCACACACCGGTGTGCCTCTCTTCTCTCCGTTCGTAGCCACTTGGCTAGACTATATTGCACAAGATGGTTAATAGTTCGACCGCTCAGCACAAGATGATTGATAGTTTGTAATTAGGAGGTATGCAGTTGTCCCGTGCCCCACAGCAGCAGTTTGAGAGTCAGCGTAATGAATTCGAGCACGAGACAGAGAGACAGCAGTAGAGCTGAGAGTACGAGCCAAGAGAGACGTGCAGCAACTGCTGTGATGACGATTCAGTATGTTATGCGTGCGCGCATGATGTGTGGTTGTACCTGTTGGTGCACACGCTTGGAGGAGAGGGTTGTACATCGACGCTGCTCTACTGCGGTTCGTAACCGAGAAGAAGCACAGCAGCAGTAGAGAGCTGCTACGAACGTTATACAGTGGTTGATGCGCGGGCAACCCCGTGGTACTGCTGTATGGCTCATGGCATAGCAACCGTCTGCGTTGGTTACAGTAGCAGACATGCAGCCCAGCAGCAACAGATGGGTTGCCTGCTGTGCTTCTATGCAAGTGCTGAGCCTGCTGTGTGGTGTGAAGTAGTTTGGCGTTTTGGTTTTCCGGGGACGCGCCTCCCGCAGCCCAGGGCACAAAGAAGTGAGGCCGGAACGAGATATATGTCCGGAGGTGTCGCAACCCCCCCCCCCCCCCCCCGGTTAAAAAATTTTTTATACATGTGCGGTAAGCAAATGTTCCGCGCCCCCCCGGGAAGGGGAGTTTTTTCCCCAAAAATTAAATAAAAAAAAGGGGGCGGCAAATAACTGGGGGGGTGA